GGGGATGGGCAAAGGGGGCAATTTGCCCTGCCCAAAATTTGCAAAAGGGGGCCCACAAAAGGTGTAATTTAAAATAATTATTTGGAACATTTTTTATATAAATAATGGTATGAGAAAAAATGTTTAGACCTTTTAAGACCCATTTACACGGTACGATTAGTTGTATACGATTCGTACCCTGGCGTATGTGATCGAATAAACACGCGTACAAACGTCACATTTCAAATTTCGCCATTAGCGAATGAGCAATAACGTGGCATTAGCACTCGTTTTCATTCGTCAGAATGACAATCGTATACAACTAATCGTATCGTGTAAATGGGCCTTTACTGGTATTGGTCCGAAAAATGTGTTTTACCCATATTTTTACAGGTATTTGTCCGGGACAATTTTTTTTAACCTAAGGCTGCATTCAGACTGGGTGCCCGGCACTGGTGCCTGGCACTTGTTTTGGCATCGACGCTTCCAAATGAAATTGGGCACAGTGCCCAAGAAAGGGCACTACTTCTAGAGGTAGTACTCAACAACGGCACTGTGCTCAACATGTCTTGGGAACGGTCTACATTATTGACTAATCATATTTTATGTACCAAGGGCAGATTTTCATTTATTTAAAAGGAGGGGTAGAAACATTTCTGGTGGGGTGGAAGCAGCACCACTCAGTGAGCTTCGGCAGGGCTCGGCGTTTGGGTTAAAGTCTTTCACACAAAATAAGAGGGGTGAAGTGAAATTTTGGTTGGGTTGAACACTTTATTAGAGGGGTTAGAGAGATTCTAGGGTGGGGGGTTAACCTCCCCAGTAAATCTGCCCATGTTATGTACTAAGTATTACTATTCCAACTGACCATCTGACCAAATTACAAACGTTTGAGTTAGAAGGGCATTGTTTTTTTATGCTGGTAAAATCGCAGCTAACCTACGGAAGCGAAGTCTGGTGCCCTAGTAGTATCTAGATATCTATGCGAAAGATCGAAGTAGTCCAGAGGAGGGCAACATCGTGGATATTAGGGGGGAAAACGTAGTGAAATGACTTATGTAGAACGTTTAACCGAAGTGACCAAACTAAAACGTTTCCCACTGGTATATGACCAAGAGAAGAAGGACATAATTTTATATTTTAAATACAAGAACAATTTCATAGACTTAGATATCTCACAGTATGTCGAAACTACGGCAAGCAGAACACATGCAGGTACCTCTTGCTTTTTATGAACCGCATTATGAAAAATCACACTCGAAATTTTCATCTACCAAACTCATTATTTTTAGGCATTTCTTGTATTCTTAATTTTTTGCCTTGCTTAGTTTTCTCAAGTTTTCCTTAATTTGTTAATTATAGAATGCTTTCCTGAAGTCTTCACTACCTTTTCTTACCCTTGATTAAAACTGGTTTTAAGAACCTGTATTAAGTCGTGTATAACTCATGTCTACTCTTGTGCTGACATTATAGCCAATGAGCAAAATCAGTTGGAATATAATGCCGTTATGAAGCTTCATGCTCATTTGGATGATGACAAAGATGGTGATGTAAATATTTCAGAGTCAGAGGAGGTAGGTCAATTGTTGAACAATGATTACTATAATTGTTAGTAGTTTAATCACAATTTAACCGTCAGCAAGATCAAACTAGCAAAACTAGCACCACAGGCACAGCTGAGCAAGCTGCTAGTCTACCAAAGATAATACTTGCAATAATTATAATAAGTTCAGTAGTTCACCCGTATCGAAGGGAGTATTCATGAGCATAGAAATAATTCCTATTATTGTTAAGGCATTTCTGGAAGTCATACATATAGCGAATGAGCGTGACGCGCTAAAATTCCACTGGTGAAGTCAAGATGATTCGCAGTTAGAAATGTTGTGATTTACAAGAGTTGTTTATGTTGCCATCCTTCGCCATTTCTCCTCCCTGGAGTGATCGAGCAACATCTTTCATGCTTCTATGTAGATGATTCGCTCACCGGTGGGGAAAACATTCCGCAAGTAGAAGATTGAAAGGAGAGAGCGGTTGAAATCTTTCAAGATTCAAGTTTACATAAATGGAACTCGAACGTATAAGTGAACTTGACCTGCAGCGGGAAACGACGAAGAAACATACGCCAAACAGCAGTTAGGTGGTGATTCAACTGAGACAACAATGCTTGGGTTAAAGTCTACGGAACAAATCGATGGACAGAGGACTCTGACCACTATATCTTTCCCAACCTTTGACAGTAATTCTACCACAAGTCCACAACCAAACGCACAACCCTTAGCAAGCTAGCAAAAGTCTATGACCTCCTAGATGTGGTGTCCTCCATTACTTTGGAAGGAAAAATAATCTTTCAGGACGTGTGCAAGAGTAAGGTACCACGGGATGCTGACACTCAAGAATCGTTAGTCGTCGCTAGAACGAATGGGAGAAGTCACTGCCAAAAGAAGAAACCATACCACGTCCGATAGTGAAATACCGAGAACCAGTTTTGAATGTAGAACTCCACACCTTTGGTGATGCCTCGCCGAAGGGTGTCGGAGCGGTGGTATAACCCAGAGGGCGACAAAGATCTGGGAATACACAACAATTAATGACAGCTAAATCTAGATTGGCCAAAGAAGGGTTGACTATTCCTCGTCTGGAGTTGATATCCGCGCATATGAGTATATTCAATAAAATACATCTTAATTAATTTACTTGCGTATAGAAAATTTAGGTTACAAATTTATTAACATGTATAGATTATAATGTTTTTTATGTTACTCTGAGTGTATATCCACCCTGGGCAGGCTGGAAAGTTAGCCTGACATTGGGGGGAATCGAAGCTGCGACCTTTGGGATACTACTGTAGTTCAATGCTCTGCTAACTGAGCTACGAGATCAAGTCGGTTCGAGTGTGTGGTATTTCGGAACTATGGTCATGATGTTTTTTGAGTGTGAGTTGATGTTATTATTACTGGACTGAATTCACGAGGATTTTTTACAAAAGAAATACGAAGTTCTTTGCATTTATCAGTGTTCAGTTTCATCTTATTATTTGTCGACCATTGTACAATTTCATCAGCAAAGAATTGTGCTTTACTTAATTGATTCGTGTCGATTACCTCAGATGTCGTATAGTATTGTTTACGTATTTCCACAAATTGGCGTTGTTTACAACCAAATCATTCATCATAATTAAAAAGAGCCAGTCCCCCAATTTTGTTGGCTGAGGTAGCCCAGAGGGAACATTTCCTCATTCATTCATTTACCCTTTGGAATCTATCACATAGAAAGTCTATAATCCAATTTATTATGCTCCTTGGTAGGTCTAGGTTTCTAACAAGAATTTTATGATCAATAAAGCTTTTTCGTAGTCAAATTACGGCGAATGTTGTTGAAGATATTGGAATTGTCCCATTACTGGTTTGGTTCGATTATTTTCATTACAGCTGGTCTCACGTAGTCGTTCAGCACAAAATTTTCTGCAATCTTTGAAATGCAGGGGTTAAGGATATAGGCCTGAGTCCTTCAGATATTGTGATTTTTTCTTCGGCATAGGTAAGACATTTGCAAATTTCCATATGGAAGACGTTGTTGTTCATAGGAAGCATTCGGGATTTGACTTATTGGTAAAGCTGGCTGCATAGTCACGTAGGAGCCAATTTGGCACGTCGTCTGGACCAGCGCTTTTTCCAGGATTAAGTTTTGCTAAGTGTTAAAAAAACTTTCTTCAGAAACTTCTAGTTATTCAGGATGGTCTTCCAAATCAACTCGTTCTAATGGGGACGAAATGCGATATTCTGCCAGCGAATAATTGAACTGTCAATGAGGAAAAGAACACATGGGCACGCGAAAATGCGAAAAAAAAATGGGTACCCACCGCGCGCCCGCTGCTGATCTGCTGATCTGCTGATCCGCGAATACAAATTTGACGAAATGACACTGCAAACGTCGTTAACATCCTTTATTATTCTAATAGATCGTTTTAATATTTGTAGTTTTTGACGCACGAGTTGCAAGTGAAAGATGGTAAACGTCATTCAAAGTTTCATTCAGGTGATCATTCTATTAGTGTCGATGATCTTTGGAAAGCGTGGCAAGAAAGTGAAGGTATACATGTAATTAGAAATTAAAATAGTTTTCATCACTGGGCAATAGGGTGTTTGGAAACCCAGGAATTACAGGAACTGCAGGATTTTCAGGAACAACATAAATCATAATAATTATTTAATTATTCGTTAATTATTCTCGCTAAAACCACTAATAATGATAAATTATGACATAAATATAGCGCGTGGAAGTGTATTTCCACACTGCTGCTGTAATAAACTTTTGTTCAAGATAGAAAGCGAAACTGAGGTAGCTAAGTGGTTAAAATTTTGGTTTTGGACTAGGATGTTCAATTATACTGGCCACTGTATTTATTTCTAAAATGACGTTGTCTTTTATTACAGCATATCTAGTGAAAGTGTGACTACGAGTAACGAGTTCAGATGAAGATATCGAATTTAAGGTATTATTAAAGATATCTGGTCACTTTTGTTTACCGTCTTATTATGTATTAATACCTCCGGTTCCCCTGACTCCAAATATTTAAAACTAAACGTTTGAACAAATATACAAGGGCATCTTGTTGGTTTATATGAAATATGTAAATTTTGTTGTATTTATTCGATAACGTTTATAAATAATAAAACGGTAAACATGCAACACTGACCAGATTTCAATAATAATACCTTATGATTCAATATATTCACCTGAACTCGTACTGAGTCACGCTTTCACTAGATGTGCTGGAATAAAAGATAACGTCATTTTAGAAATAAATACAGTGGTATCGAACATCCTAGTCCAAAACCAAATTTTAACCACTTTATACCTTTCGCTTTCCATCTTGAACAAAAGTTTATTACGACAGCAGTGTGGAAATGCATTTCCGCAAAATTTAACGAATAATTAAATAATTATTATGATTTATGTTGTTCCTGAAAATCCTGTATTTCCCTGGTTTCCAAACACCCCTGGACATGCAATATCTATGAACTTTACGTTAATATTTTCAAGAGGTTTCTGATTTAATTTCTGGTCTTCTCACCATGCAAGCCAAAAATGTCAAATTCTGCATACTATACCCAAACGCCTAACTTCATTGTGTTTCTTGAAAATCTTTCAATGAAACATTTTCCGTTTTAATTAAGGTTACTAGACACGTTGGGAGGGTCAAAAATTATCATTTTTGTATTTTAAAATTGCTGTATTCTTAAAGCCGAGATCTTTTATATGGTGAAAACTAAATATTGATAAAATGAAAACTTTTCGAGATATTTACGTTTAAAATGTGATTGAAACTATTTTTGCGCGAAATACGAGCATGTGTTGAGGTCGTAAGCCTTTGGTTTCAAATATCGAGTTTCGCCCGGTGTTTGTCGAAATATCAAGTAATCTGTGGCTCTGCGGCCTTCGATGCCTTAAACAGAATCTAAAACTTTGTGGTGATTGTCAAATGCGGGATTGGTCTTACTATTACAGTATCATGTATAATATACTTATATACCCCGTTTATAATTCAAGCACGCGGTTACCACGAGAATAATCAGGTTCCTTTCAAAATGTGTCACTCTGCTGTCGTTTAATAGGAGGATTTCCTCGATATATTCGCTCCGATAATCGAAAATCCCGTGGAAACTTATCACGCGTTCGTTTTTGCGTGATGAATTTTCAGCAAAAATCCAATTTTCTTCACATTTTCACAGCAGACGCACGAGAACCAGGGCTACAAAAGTGTGTGCATGTGGTAGCTATAAGTCCTGACAAGACGTTTAATAGCTCAAAAGAGATTTCATTTTCGTTTTTTACTTATTGCCTTTCGAACACAAAACAACTTGTTAGAACGAAGGTTTACAAAAAGAGAAAAGAGAACCTATAGCTACCACACACACGGCATTTGACTTTCTTGATATAGCTTACTTTGAAGGGAAACCATAGCTTGACAAAACTTTTCGCGTGAAGTGAGTGTGAAACCTTAATAAATGGTGAAATACTGTGTTCATCAACTGATTCAACATTCATTGTACTATAACTGGTCAAACTTGGTCAAACTGTGAACTAAATTGGTTGAAAACACAGACCGCAATTTCAACTGTTGTGAATGACGCGCGCAACGTGTCTCGTAACCTTAAATTCGGGTCTTAAAACTAACATAGAATTTGACTGTGTTGTTTGCCGAATTTCCTTCTCACGATTCACCCTAATTGCACGCCTTTACACATCACCTGTCTCGTTAATTCAGGTTGCTCAATCTTCCGATATTATATATATATATACAAGTATATAAGACTTTGTCTTTTGATGTGACCATACAGTTATTCTGTCGGACGATGATTTTGAATTAAAGCGAAATATCAGGAACTCCTGTGCAAAGTATTGTTTAAGTCCTTATCTTGGATTTCTCAAGATGTTTATATTAAACTTTGTGATTACATAATAATTATTTGTTACCACAATCTAATGTTCTATTACTTTATGATTCATTTTAATTTTGTTGATAGTAAGCAAATGGTCATCGGATGAAGTTGCTGACTGGTTAATAAATGTTGTTCATTTACCTCAGTATGTAGAAGTTTTCAAGGGTAATAAAGTTGACGGTCATCATCTACCAAGGTATTATACAATACAAACTATTCATTTCGCAACTATATACTATAACAAACTATTCATCATTGTGTCAAACAGTTGGTATAGCTACTAATGTTAGCATGTTAAATTTGAATTCCACCAGTAGACTAAACTAACTATGTTTTGTACAGATTAGCGTCTCCAGATGATGATATATTATTGAATGAACTCAAGATCTCGAACACAATTGACAGAAAAAAAATTTCATTAAGAGCAATGGATGTTGTTCTATTTGGTGCTCCCAGACGTAAGTATATACTTTATTGTCTAACAAGTTTTGCTTATAATAGTTTTGTTTGTGGAAGTTTTGCTTCTTCAAGAAATACCTGTTTTGCTGAATCTTCTGGCTTGAACAATGCAGATATTTGGTAATTCCTACCGGCAGTGCATCCAATTGGAGGTCTTTCTTTCTCCATATATGAACAACCAAAATAATATAGTTATAATATACGCGTGGGCCATCAGGCCAAATTGTTTCGTTTCGTGGCACCTCTCTGGAAAGTAGAACATTTTTACATAATCAGAATTATCCACAGAAAAAGTTCCCAAAAAGTTTACAACCAAATGGAAAGCAGGCTTTAGTCCTCCTTAGTCTTCGCTGTAGGCTTAATTAGCCTTCCTTAGCCAGGCTTCCTTAACCCCTTAATCATTGGCATTCTCTCTTGACAAGGAAAATCGTCAGGCGTTAGAGTAATTAGTGAGTGTATGCGACGTTTGTGTGACACGGACGTCACCCGTAAACTTGGTATAACTAATTTTGGCGGCACTCTGCATTATAGCACTCGTATAAGGAAGTAAAAAAGTTTAAAAATCTTATGTTTTGTCATATATGTTGAAGATTACCACAAACTGAAACAAACACAATTTTTAATCCAGTCCCCCCTCGGCAATCTGACGTGCGTGTTGACAACAACGTCGCTCGCTTAAGCTCACGATTGGTAGGGTACATTAGGGGGTAGCATTTATTTTAATCTTAACTCTCGCCCTAGTCTCCCTCGCAGCCACTCTTTGACACAAAGGAGGGAAATTATTCTTAACGTTGCTTAGTCTTCCCTAGTTTTCCTTAATTCGTTGCCCTTTCCTTAAACTTTCACTACCGTTTCTTAGCCTTGATGAAAACTGTTTTTAAGCAGACTTGAACCTGTCCATATTAAGGCGTGTGTGCTCATGTGTACTCTTGTGCTGACATTATTAGGTCAGGTAGCCAACGAGCAAAATCAGTTGGAATTTAATGCCGTCGAGAAGCTTCATATTCATTTGGATGATGACAAAGATGGTGATGTAGATTTTTCAGAGTCAGAGGAGGTAGGTTAATTATTGAACAATGATTATTATAATTATTAATAATTTAATCAGCGAGATCACCAACAGAGAAATTTTTGGCCAAAATGGCAATACTAGTACAGTAGTACTACAGCTGAGCAGCCAGTTCTACCAAAGATAATATTCAAATGCAAGTTCACCCTTATCGAAGTGAGTGTCGAGACATTTTACAACAAACCATTGTATGGACCAGGTTAAGCCATGACTAAACGTACCTTGTTCAAGGAGTGCAAGGTAGAAACAGAAAATCCCTGATATGAAGGCAAGAAACAGGAGTGGTAAACCCTGGATGAACGCCGCATCACAGATTGAAAGAAGCCAGATCTACAGCGAGCGGGAAACACATGAAGAAACCTCCGATGTATAACACTGGGAAAAGTATTGCGACCAGCCCCAGGAGAGGGTGGGGGGAAAATAATTTATGTATGGCATGCAGGCAGCACGAAAGTGAATCATTAGCCTAACTTGTGGTCAATTACCACTCTACAAGGCAGCCGATTGGTTGAAAAGCTTGCATAAATGCGTAATATACATATGCCCCCACAATCGTGCTTGATGTTAATTATTTTCATTGCATAAATTCATTTACTAATAAATCCGTTTTAATATATGTAGTTTTTGACCCACGAGTTGCAAGTGAAAGATGGTAAACGTCATTCAAAGTTTCATTCAGGTGATCATTCTATTAGTGTCGATGATCTTTGGAAAGCGTGGCAAGAAAGTGAAGGTACATGTAATTATAGTCTAATGTACAATCTAATTAGAATAAAAAAGTTTTCACCAATAACTGTAGCCTGTGTTCCAGTCCACTGTTGAATTCTTTATTTTAACTAGCTAACTTCATTCAGATTCTTGAATATCTTTATATCAAACATTTTTCGTCTTACTTATATTCGGGTCTTCAAACTAACATATATAGAGCTTGACTGTGCTGTTTGCCTAATTCTCCTCTCACGATTCACCCATGCATGCACGTCTTCGCACATCACAGCTGTATCGTTAGTTCATGGTTGCTCAATCTCTTGTCATTCATTTTAATTTTGTTGATAGTAAGCAAATGGTCATCGGATGAAGTTGCTGACTGGTTAACAAATGTTGTTCATTTACCACAGTATGCAGAAGTTTTCAAGGGTAATAAAGTTGACGGTCATCATCTACCAAGGTATTGCAATACAAACTATTCATTTCACCACGAGTACAAACTATTATGTAATGACTACAGTGAAACACGCAATTTAATTGGTCGATACCCGTGCAGGTTCAGACAATCCTGCACGGAATACCTTCGAGCGGGCTTTTTATAGAATGTCGGACAATGAAAACATTTTAACGTGTGAGATTAACAGTATATATATATTAAACGAGAGACAAGTTAACATAAACTTTAATAAAGTTAAAATCACGTTAAATAAACTTAAACGTTTTAATAAAGTTATCCGTTGTTTCACTATTTTTTTTATTAAAATAGAATTACCAAATGGTTTTCCGTGCGTCACGCACGCGGGGTGTTGCGAGACATTCGCGATGACATCATAGTCTTTCAAAACATGGTTTGGAAACTCCGCTAAAGTCTTTGTTCTATCTTTTTGTTCGCGTTTATGCAGTTTTGTGCACGGTCACGGTCAATGAACACATTATATTTCAGTACAATGAACAAATCATCCAATAGCAACGTTTCGGTTCAGTCATTCAACCATGCTATTTTAATAAATACTGATAAACCTAAAACAAAGGATGTGCACGATTTAAGGTACGGCTCAACATAAACTCCCAGCTCATTATGACCGCTTTGAAGTTTACTGAGTTTCCACTTTCCAGACCATGTCTTGAAAGACAATGATGACATGCACTCATGCTTGTGTGAAACAGTGGGTATCAATGTTAGTTATGCGAATTGCACCCGTAGATATTTATTAACTAACTATGCTTTGTATAGATTAGCTTCTCCAGATGATGATATATTGTTGAATGAAATCAAGATCTCGAACATAATTGATAGAAAAAAGATTGCATTAAGAGCAATGGATGTTGTTCTATTTGGTGCTCCCAGAAGTAAGTAGACTTTATTGTCGAACAAGTTTTGCTTGTTCAAGATCACAATGATATCATGCATGAAATACTTGGGTTGTAATACAATTAACGGTCTGTAGTGACCGCGGTCTTTTGTGAGTTAAACCTGGTTATTTTTAGGACACAACTACTTGAAAGACTTGGTATTGGGATTGATTGTTCTTGTTGCAATGTTGGGATTCTGGTTCTCCAATGTACAAAAACGCAAAGCTCAGAAGCAAATGGAATCTATGATAAAAGATGTGGAAATTTTGCAAGATGCGGAAAAGAACTTGACCAGTCTTCAAAATAGGTACAGCATATGCAGTATGTTCTTTGACCTGCAAGAATATTATCACTCCAGCTTTATCGGTTATATGATACTCCATGGTATACAGTATTGACAACAAATCAATATTTTAGATATATGATAATAAAATAGATGACTTTTCTTCTATATTGATTATTACAGTCGTGCCAAGAAGCGTTCCGAAAAATGTTGACCAGTTCATTTCCTAACTTTGAGGAGTTCCTCTGAACAATTCCTCAACAATTTGATAAGTTCCTTAAAAAGTTCCTAACTTCCTGTTTCATTCACCAATCAGATTGCTCAAAAATAAAATATAAAATTTGATTGGTCAATGAAACAGGAAGTTAGGAACTTTTTAAGGAACTTATCAAATTGTTGGGGAATTGTTCAGAGGAACTCCTCGAAGTTAGGAAATGAACTGGTCAACATTTTTCGAAACGCTTCTATTGGCACGACTGTAATAACTAGAAATACAAATTTATTTAGATCCTCCCCACTAGGTTTTTCAGGTCTAATTGCAAGTGTTTAAAAATTTACAATTACAAAGTTTATAATATAAATAGATAAATATATAAAATTATATAATAATTAAGAATATTAGAATTGTATAGCCAGTTCTTATAGTGATTGTTTGAAAGAGTTTAGTGTGACGCTCTCTTCGACATAGTTCTGTACAGTGTTCCACAACTCTGTATCTAAATGATTGTTGTACTGAGCTCGTTCTACATTTGGGTATGTCAAGATTGTTTCAGAGCTCGAAATATACCACTATTACACTTCATAAGAAATTCCATCCTTTTCTTGGCTAGACTCCAAGAGGCTGAAACAAGTCATCAAGTAATTCAACAAGAGAAATTTCAACTGGAAAGTAATCTGAAAGACGAAATAAAAGCCGCTAAGGTACAGATTATATAGAATCATGATTCAGACTGGCCTAGTTGCAGGCCTTCTCGCTTTACTGGATCGGTTTTAAAAATTCAGATTACTCAAAATATGCTTGGTTGGTGCGTAAGTGGCTCGTTCCATGTCATATTGCGTACATTTGACTTTTTGTATAGCTTTATTATGGAGAATATGTATGTTCATTCATTCTTTGCTTGAAACGTCGACGGCCAGGAGTTTATCCACAATTTCGGTGTTTGTGATTGTCCATACACGTCAGGCGTGAATATTTATCGCATTTGATTGGTTTATTTGGTGAATTGGTATTCTAAACTTTTATCTCTCTAGCGTGAAGCCCAGCGTCTTCGAGAGGCACGGGAAGACCAATCGGAAGAAATCCACACTAGACTAAAACTAGCGGAAGAAGAATTAATTCAGGTAAGTATTACATTGTCTAGATGTCACATTCAATCAGAATCATTCAAATTGTTTCATTCAAAGTAGGCATCATGTCAAAAATATACGTTGAACATTATTTTGTAAACGACCATGCCCATTGGCCATTCATGAGCATGTGTCACGCTCAAATGTCTGTGTAAGTCGATAACTTTTTAAAAATCCGAACTTCATGTTGATCTCATCACTATTGGATTGGACCTCTCTTGACCATAGAGGCGTTTTTAGTTAAACATGCATCACTTCACTTGTGATGACCAATACACCCTTTCGATAATTACGTCACGCATACTTTTTGGTCTTGGAGCCTCGCTCTCATTAGTAAATTACGCAAGGTGATTGGCTCACGGTTCATGAGAGCGAGGCTCCCAGGCCAAATGACGTAATTATCGAAAGGGTATATTGTGGTAGACAATCTCGACTTGAAAAACACTTTTGTGTATATAATAGTTTTGTTTGTGGAAACACCACGTAAATTTATTGCTGCAAAGATTATTAGCACTGATGAAGATCCGGGCTTACGGATCGAAAGCTTTGCAGTAATAAATTTACGTGGTGTTTCCACAAACAAAACTACTATATGTTTTATCGCCATGCAAACGTACAAAGAACTTACTTTTGAGTATAAGATGACAAAAATTTCCTGCAAAGTGCAAGAAAATTTCTTGCGAAGATATTTTGTTAAAAATTTCCTGGCAGCGGCGCTGCTGGCGCTGTGACTAATTAACCCAAATGCCTTAGATTTTCAAGGTGTATAGCCCGCATCAGTAAAAACCTGTGCGGAGGAGAGTGGAATTGGGCTTAGCTTGCAATAACCGTTTTTGTTATATACCAAGTTCATGTATTCTTGCACCTCATTGGACAATAACGTACATCACGTGAAAGTCACGGAATTCAACTGTCTTCTGGCAACAGCTCTGAGCGGTCGACAATACTCTTATCCACCGCGGTAAATAATAAAGTCGTTCAATTATGGAACAAATAAATGAAACTTTCTCGTTTCGTTTTCGTTGTTCTTTTTGTTTTTTTTCGCACTTGGTATATACCAATGAAAATACTTATTGTGTGGGACCTTCGGGAAAAATCTGTTTTGTGGGCTCTCGACTGCCAGCTTCGTCTAGGGAATCATTCGTAGTCCCGGGTCCACAAAATTAAACATTCTGTTTCCCTCGATCCCAGTTGATCCAAATGTTGAAGAGTTATTTAGTATAATCGTACCAATGTAAGGACGATTTAGCTTTCTTAAAGTTTTGTGAACATTATCTTCCGTTGCTGCAGGTGAGAGAGGCATTGCGGAAAGCAGAAAAGGAAGTTGAATATTTGTCTTCGGAAATGTCTTCATCTCTACAGAAATGGCTTCAAGTAACCTACCAGAAAGAAGTGAAGAATTTTCAATATCGACGTAATGTTGCAATGAGGAAGATGGAAGAGGCCAAAGATGCTGTATGTTAGCAAATATTATATTACAATGATGTTCATTCATTAAGAGGAAATTTTTTTTCTATGTCGCGTATTTGCGATGAAAAGTGTTCAAAATCGAAAATCTTTTTGGCTTACCTTTCAAAATTGCTTTGTTTTTAGCTTTGCCGGTTGAAAAACAAAAAATAATAGGAAGAAATAAAATTGGTTGGGTTGTGACAAGTATTTTGTATTTTAGTGTAACAGGTTAAAAAGGAAACGTAGTTCGGTGTTTGGTGCATTGCGTCTTGCTCATGATCAAAATATTGATGACGTAGATCAAAGAATACTTGCAGCTCGGTGAGTCTACTTGGAGTATTCCTTATATAGAATAGTCAGGGACACTTTTCTGCTACCGATATACGGTGGTAAAACCTCAATCTTCAATAGGCAATTCCAGCTTTTAGTTTATGCGCGCAGGGGGGGGGGGAGATGGGAAGTAAGGTAGCATATTGCTGATTATGCTGAAAAAATAAAAATGGTGGCCATGTAAACACGGGGTGATAGCTTGTACTTGTAAATATTGAAATATTTCGGTTGTTTAGGCAGTTTTTATGGAAATTTTTCAGCATAACCAGCAATATGATACCTTACTTCCCATCACTCCCTGCGCGCATAAATTAAAAGCTGGAATTGCCTATTGAATTTTGAAACTCTGTAATTATAATTAATTAATTAATCATTAAAACCGTTTTCTCAAGCTTCGTTCAATGGAAAACAAGAGTTGCATTGTAAGAGTTAATTACATGGTCGTACCTTTCATCAGCTCTCGTACTGTACTTGTTTGACTGGGGCTTACGATTTGTTTTATGAGCACTCCAATGTCTAATGGCTGTCTGACCACGACCAAGTTATTGTTTGTGTTTGAGATATACACAATATGTATGGTTGCTCTTTTTTATATTTTGTAGAACGTCGTTGGCTGAAGTAACAAGTGATTTAGAAGAACTTCAATATCGTTGGCAACAAATTGAAACATGTTGTCGTCTTGATCTCGGTGTTTGTACCTCTTTCCTATGGAATGAATCCGCGGATTCGCCCATCATTCAAGCACGATTATCTGTTAAGGTCGCAAGTGCATTAGGTACAGAAAGTACTACCTCTCGCGAATCACTTCCGATGCATCGAGTATACACATGTCCTTCACTTCAATCTTCGGATGAGAATTCCCCTCCTCCATACCACGCGTTACCAAGACACGCAGTTCAAAGACATTCGTCAGATCCAACCGACAATGCAAGTGAACGGGAAACGACATATGAATATGAACGTAGTGAAAATGGTGCGAATGGAAAACACAGTACGTCTGACTCCGTTGATGGTTTGCATGATGGCACTTGTAGTGCATCAAATGAACAGAGTGTACATTCCCAATATTCTCTCAGTCAACCGGATATAACTGCCGTTCATACTAGAGACGAAAATACAAGTAAAATGATCAAACAAAAGAACTCCAAAAAAAATGGATCATTTCACGATGATAAATCCAAGAGACAATCATTCTCAAATTCAGAGGACAAAAATACAGGACTCAAAAAGAAATGGTGGTCACGAGGGAAAAAACAACATTCCGAAGAAGGGAGTCATGAAACTAACTCAATTCATTTATCTAGATCAAAGACAAAGGGTTCGATGCCTATACTGTCGCAAAAATAGAGTGTGAAGACAAGATTTTTGTAGTTAATGGGCAGATTATGTATTAGAGAATTAGCTTTTCATAAATTAATTTAACAACCATCCCCCGGCAATAATGCTAGGATGTAAATAAAGCACACTTGTGTGAGACACGTATATAGTAGCCCAACACTTTTACATAGAACACAAATTACGAGTCACAAAATTGTCCAAAGTGCACGTCTTCAGATTTATTTTATATCCGACAGCCACATGCAAGTATGCAATTAACCACTCTCATGCTAAAGTACAATTTGTACAAAGATTATGTAGCCCAAATTAATAGCAACTTTCGTTGGTAGGGATGCAACTACCTGAAAAATATAAGGAGAATTTGGACGTTTTAGAGCGAAGGCCCTTGGTCGGGTACAACCTCGTAACCCGGGTGCGTCGGGTATAGTATGTATAGTATAAGCGACTAACTTGGCTTCCACCTTCCCGGCCAAGGACCTTCGCTTGAAACGTCGAAATTCTGCTTTTATTTGTCAGGTAGTAGTAAGGCAGATAGAGGACCAAAATTATGGAAAACTTACCATATCGTGGGACAATTCCATTTTGTCTTCATATTGTGCCGTGAAATTTCTGATACATTTCTAATACAAATGACTTGCATCAATAGAAAGCTAACAAAAAACTACCGTTTAAATGTCTTATATCTAGTTTTTTGCAAGCTTTCAAATGATGTAAGTCATTTGTGTTAGAAATGTATTTGAAATTTCACATTTTTTAACTGTAATAGAGTTTAATACAACATTCGAAGAAAAACGTGTCGGCAGGAGCCCACAAGAAATTTCAACGCGGCCAACATACAGAAACGTACTAAAGCCTTCATGGCACAATATCAAGACAAAATGGAATTGTCCCACGATAACGTAAGTTTTTTCCTTCTATCTGCCCGACTTTTGCATCCCTATCAACGAAAGCTTGTTATTACTGGCACTACCTACACTGGCACAGGATTATACCCCAAATTAATAGACCTTTCTCATGATGTCAAACCTGGATAGACATGCGCGATGTCACCTGAATGTTACATGAAATTTGATTGGCTAGATATTAGACAATACAATTTTGTGATTTTTTAAATAAAAGGATTTAAGGTAAGAAGAGAATTGAAAACCTGTAGCAAATCATTTGACAATATTTTTACAACATGGACAGGAGAATTGTTCTCCGTCGTAGTTCAAATTACAGAAGAACGTTTTTAGTTTGAATTTATACGTAGAAGGACTGAAGTCAAGGAGAGTGGTTGTTAATCAGATTCAGGCCAATAGGCGCAAGTAATGTAAAACACCACTATAGTGACTATACGATAGTTTACTCTTGTCAAGTATTTTTGAGAGAATAACTAGTAAAGATCGAAACTGTCCTGTTGTTGCCTTTCCTTTCACCAGATATGTTAGCCTGGGGCCGGTTGTATAAAAAAGTGATTAAAGTTAACTATGATTAAGTGCAAACGTCATCCAATAAGAAGCGCCTATTTAAGAGTTAATCACTATTTAACTACAAAATAGTGATTAAAAAAGTGATTAAGAGTTTTATACAACCGGGCCCAGGGTGCAGTCACAGGCTATAAGGTCAATACTTTACAGTTCATGCAGGACTAGCTATACAAACTACTTAGATACGTCCCTCGATTCCCCAGTACACTTGTAAAACGCACACTTGAAGATCCCACCAATCTCTCGAACTGACCAACGACTTAGATTTGCCACAAGTCCGCCTCGGAAATTTTTTCCGTATTTTTTTTACAAGTCGGACCGCGCGAAATAATGTCCGGAAATAGGAAACCGGAAGTAATAGATAAATACGTCACATCGTACGATAGTGTGGCGTTTGTTTACATATTTTGGGACACTTTATATTTTTGGGTCGAAGACAGGGCGTGTATTTAAAACTACTGAGAAAAGCTAATAAACTATATCTATGTGATTTGTTTGGGATACTATTCTTTTGGAGGCCAAGAAATCCCAAATACGTGGCGACCCACAGCAGGATTGTGAATTCAACAAGCGAAAACAAGACTAAAAATGGAGGAGCAAATCGCTAATCTGCAAACAAAATTGAAGCTCTTAAACTTTACAGCTAAAAAGACAGATTCTACCATCGCCAAAGCAGACATCGACGTCTCGGAAAGACTATGTTCATCGATCAAAGCTATGATAAAGGCCGTAAGCGACGTTAAAGAAACAATCGAAGAACAGAAGTTTAAATCAGGGGCAACCGTAGAAATTGTTAGCGAATGGAGCGACGAAATCGAACAACAAATTGAATTCGCAGACGAACAGGTGCGAAAAATAGCAAACCAGATTCGAGAGATAAACTACGAGTTTAAACAAGCCGAGGACGTTAAAAAGAGAGATGCACAACTTGAATTCGAACGGGCTCAAGTAGAATTACAACAACAACACGAGAAACACGAAAGAGACGAGCAGATTGCACAAGAAGCCAAGATTTTAGATCAAAAACTTCAATATCAAAAACTATTCGAAGAATCGCAAACTAGCGTGCCAAAAGACGGAGTACAAGCCAAATTGCCGAAGCTACAGATAACCAAATTTAATGGGCAATTTAGCGACTGGTTAAGGTTTTGGAACCAATTTATCGCGATTATCGACAGCCAAAACATCAGTCCAATAACGAAGTTCTCATATCTTAAAGAACACTTGGACCCAAAAGTAAAACGATGCATCGACGGGCTACCATTTACGGACAAGGGATATACTAAAGCAAAAGAAATACTAGTCGAAAAATACGCCAACGAAAGCGAGATTGTCAACTCTTACGTCGAAGAAATAATTTCTTTACCAACAATCAACGGATCTCAACCGGGAAAAATTCATTCATTTTTTGAGAAACTTCGATATAATGTACAATCGCTGGAAACACTGAATAAGCTGAGCGACGTAAACGGATACGTCAGGATGACAATTAACAAACTTCCGAGCATACGCGGAGATCTGGTACGAACCGACCCGAAATGGAAGGACTGGACGTTTGTTCAACTATGCGAAGCTTTACGAGATTGGACTGAAAGAAACCCAGTCGAAAACAACCAATCAGAAGATAAACGAAGAGATAGATATGCCAAAGCATTCAACACGCAACAGAAGAAAGACCCAACCAAACCGCGGGCATGTGTTTACTGTGATTCGATGGAGCATAAGTCGACAACTTGTTCAGTCGTTAGCACACCTGTGGACCGAAAGAAGATACTTGCACAAAAGAAACTATGCTATAATTGTGCTGGGGGGTCACATCGCGCTGCTGAATGTCGAAGTACCACCACGTGTCGGAACTGCGGTAAAAGACACCATACGTCGATCTGCGATCCTGAAGCAAAATTAGAGATGTTAAAGTCAGCGCATCAAGCCGACGAAAGCGAGGTGATATATCCAGTCGTTTTGCTAGAGATAGATGGTATCAAGACGAGAGCTTTACTTGATACTGGGGCTGGGAGCTCGTATGCTTCGGCCAGACTAATCAATGCACTTCACAAACAGCCTACGGAAACTAAGACCAAACGCATAGAGATGATGCTTGGTTCGACTACAACGAAAGTGGAGATTTATAACGTTAAGGTCAAGTCAATAGACGGTGGTTTTACCATGGATGTCAATGTAACCAAGGTGGACAAACCACAGTTAATGCATTTGGATAACCCAAATTATGAGACATTGTTGAAAAATCACTCTCATCTTAATGGAGTACAGATCAACGACGTTGATGTCAACCCACATCTAGCTGTTCATGTTGTGCTTGGCGCCAGTGAATACGCTGCAATTAAAACGAAGACTGCACCAAGAGTCGGATCACCCGGTCAACCAATCGCAGAATAGACCTTGCTCGGTTGGACGATTATGTCACCAGGTAGAGAAGTAGATACTGCTCCACTATTGCTTACCAGCTCCACGAGTGTCGACTTCGACCAGCTTTGTAGTCTTGATGTGCTCGGTTTGGCTGATTCACCTGCGGGAGATCAACTCGAAGTGCACCAATAATTCAAGGAGCAGCTGACGCGTAGTCCGGAGGGGTGGTATGAAACCGGGCTCCCCTGGAAAGACAACCACCTAGAGCTACCTACCAACAAGACCGGAAGTATCCGAAGGCTTCAGCAGCTGGTGAAGAAGTTAGAACGGGACAACAATTATACAGCATATGGCAATGTTATTCAAGAACAGATCGAACAGGGAGTGGTTGAGGTAGCCCCAGCAGTAGTTGTTGGTAACGAATTTTACCTACCACATAAAGCTGTAATCAGACAACAAGCGGAAAGTTCGAAGTTGAGAGTAGTTTATGACGCTTCGGCGAAAGAACGAGGAGACCAGCCATCACTAAATGACTGTCTACACCCTGGTCCAGCTCTACAGAACTTGCTATGGACAGTACTTGTGAGAAACCGAATTCACCCAGTTGCGATTACTGGGGATCTACAGAAAGCATTTCTACAGGTCCGAATACGGGAAGCAGAGCGCGACGCTCTTAGATTCCACTGGAAACCTCCTTGTCAATCAAACATAGAGGTTTATTGTTTTACTCCAGTCCTATTTGGGTTGACGTCCTCTCCATTCCTGTTGGGTGGGGTCATCAATCAACATATGGGAAGATCGGTACCCAGACTCCCAGAGTTCGTAGAGGAAATACGTAAAGTATAGACTTACCTTACCTTTACCTTACCAAGAAGCCCAAATCAAGACGTCGAAGGCAAAGGAGATCTTCCTTGATGCTAAGTTCAACCTGAACAAGTGGCACAGCAATGAAAGCGAGTTAAAGTTGGACAACGACGCGAAAGACGGAAATGATGAACTATCATATGCCAAACAGCAGCTGGGAACTACATCATCAGAAACTAAGTTACTGGGCCTTCCCTGGGACAAAGAGAATGACACCCTGAGAATTGAATTTCCTCAGGTGGAGACGGAGCCGACTAAACAAGGAGTCTTGTCTACCCTAGCCAAAGTGTATGACTAAACCAAGGGTAGTTTAGTTTCCCCAACAACATTATCGGGGAAGCTGATTTTCCGCGACATTAGCGATGAGAAACTTGCATGGGACACTGACCTACCTGAACAATTGCAAAAATTGTGGAACAAATGGTACAACAACTTGCCAGCGTCCGTAACCATACTGAGATCAATTGCACCCCACCAACAACCGATTCAAGAACTGACATTACACGCTTTTGGTGATGCAAGTGGGAAAGGCGTTAGCGCAGTGGTTTATGCCGTGGTGAAGCAAGACGATGAGTAGCACAGAATATTGTGACAGCCAAGTCACGTTTAGCCAAACGTGGACTAACAATCCCGAGATTAGAACTGGTAGCTGGCCACATGGCCGCTAACTTGATCACCAATGTTCAACAAGCAATTCAACCCATCATTACAGCAGACCTCCATTGTTGGCTGGACAGTACAGTCGCGTTGTTCTGGATCCTTGGTACGGGCGAGTACAAGCAGTTTGTTGCCAACCGAGTGAACAAGATCCGTCAACACTCGAGTATCACGTGGCACCATGTACCTACCGCAGAGAATCCTGCTGACTTGGGAAGCCGTGGAGGGAGCGTGGTGGACGCCCCACTTTGGAGGTATGGACCTCAGTGGCTGGCAGACACAGATAAGTGGCCACCGAACATAACACTCATACCTAGTGCCAGTAGCAATGCTGAAGCCAAGATCACTAAAGATATCTTCGCGGCGGCCGTAAACGTGCAGGACACCTTCGACGAGCTGTTATCTAAACATGAGCTTTGGAAGGTCTTGCGAATCGGGGCGTGGGTACAACGATTCATTCACAACTTCAAGGCAACGTTGGCAACCAGAGAATCGGGTCCACTTACAACAACCGAAATAGAGAACCACAAAACCTGGTCGATCAAACGAGTTCGGCGTGATGCACAGACCACAGCTAAATTCGAGAAAGACAAACTCCAGTTAAACCCGCAGATTAACCAGCAACAAATCTTAGAATGTAGAGGACGCCTCGAAGGTGAATATCCTATTTACTTGCCAGATGATCATCCTTTCACAAGCAAGTTGCTTCATCAAGCACATCTCGCGACATTGCATGGGGGAGTTGGACTCACCATGGCGAGGATTAGGGAACTGTACTGGGTCCCACGACTTCGACGCCTTGTGAAGAAAGTACGAGGGAAGTGTTGGGGATGCAAGAGATTCCGCACCAAGGCATTCCAGTCACCACCGCCCGGCAACTTACCGAGAACCAGAACCAGTGGTAATACACCTTACGAAGTGATTGGAGTCGATTTTGCGGGCCCGATAATGTACCGAACCAAGTCGAAAGTAGAGAAGAAATCCTATCTTGCACTATACGGATGCAGTTTGACACGAGGAGTGTTCCTAGACCTACTACCATCCCTACACACGGAAGAGTTCATCATCAGTCTTAAACGATTTGTCGCCCGTCGCGGAAGACCGAAGCTAATATACTCAGACAATGGTGGCACCTTCAAGGCAGCGGCGAAGTGGCTCAAAGAAGCACAAAGAAGTGAGAAGTTCAACGACTACTTGGCTCAACATTTGATTACGTGGCAGTTTAACCTAAGTCGAGCGCCATGGTGGGGCGGTCAATTTGAGCGCCTCATCGGACTGTTCAAGAACGCTTTCTATAAGACCATTGGCAACGCTACTTTGCGTTGGTCAGAGCTGGAAGAACTTGTCCTCGATGTGGAAATAGCACTGAACAACAGGCCCTTGAGCTATTTGGAGGACGACATTCAACTGCCGCTGCTCACACCGAACTCTATGCTGAACCTTAACCCGAATGATCTACCGAACTTGGAGTCTTCTCAGATTCCTGATATTGATCTGCGTAAGAGAGCAAAATACCTGGCTCGTTGCAAGGAGATGGTTTGGAGTCGTTGGTCCAAAGAGTATGTACGTGCACTTCGAGAGCAGCACAGACGAGCCGGAGGCGAACAGACCTTGCATCCGAAGATTGGCGATGTCATCATTATCAAAGGTGATGCAAAGAACCGTAATCACTGGAAACTTGGCGTTGTGGAGGAACTCATCCAAGGGAGAGACGGGATAACACGAGCAGCTAAAGTCAAAACAAGCAACGGAATTCTCGAGCGAGCGACCCAACACCTCAGCCCTTTAGAATTATCATGCGACCGTTCGCTGCCTGTAGAACTTAACCCTACAGCTCCAGAGTTCATGCCAAGACCTCGAAGAGATGCAGCTGCTGCAGCAAGGTTAAGAATTCAAAACAATCTTAACGAAGAGGACAATGATTGACTTGCAAAAACTCTAAAGTTAGAATAAGGACGTTATACTACTACATTTAAGTAACATTCTTGTTTTGTTCGAACGTCATAAAGGACTATAGGTTGACATATATCTCCTTAGAGGAACATATATGGGGGGAGTGTGTCCGGAAATAGGAAACCGGAAGTAATAGATAAATACGTCACATCGTACGATAGTGTGGCGTTTGTTTACATATTTTGGGACACTTTATATTTTTGGGTCGAAGACAGGGCGTGTATTTAAAACTACTGAGAAAAGCTAATAAACTATATCTATGTGATTTGTTTGGGATACTATTCTTTTGGAGGACAAGAAATCCCAAATAATAAAGCGACGTCATTTGAAAAGGACTTTGCAAAAGTCTAACCAACGACGTGATTTAAATTTCCAGTGAATCTGCTTGGGTTCAGCGTTGCCAACTGTAACTTTGTAAAAATCCCAAGTAAGCTCCCAAAATATCCCGAGACCCCGACTTTTTTACATCATTATATTTTAGGTAGTTTTCGCGCCAATTTCGGGTAGGATAGCCCAGGGATAGCCTCGTACGTCCTGTTGTAAAAACGAAATCTGTAAAAACGAAATCTGATAGCAGCTCAATATTAATAAGGTTTAAATACGAGAGGACGTATATAAAACAGTGATTAAACGTCATCCAATAAGAAGCACGTATTTGAGAGCCGAATCACTATTTATATAATTAACTACAAAATAGTGATTAAAAAAGCAGGGCCGTAGCGAGGGGAGTATTGGATCGGGTTGGCCATTCGGAAAATTACGGCAATAATAGTATAACAAAATTTTAGTTGTTTAAACAGAGAAAATATTATAAAATGGTATTGTCAGTATAAACCATTGGTATAAACTGATTTACGAAATCACGGCATTTACATGGATAACGTAAAACAAATCGTAAATCGGTAAATGTTTTTCGGTTTATTACTTCTCAGGGTCGTAGCAGTCGATCGGGGGCAGCAGCCCTTACAATAATTTGCTGATAATCATTCTTTTTTCAAAATCATGCACACCTTTATCATTTAAATAATATGCCTTTAAAATACTGACAATAGACTAGAGGTTAGCCTCCTTCGCAGACGTCAGTGTGCTCGCCACGTCTCTCCCACTAACTAGAGGTGTGCATCGGATCGGATTGGACGTTTATAATCCGACAATTGCCTAATGTTTTAAATCCGATCCGAAATTGTCTAATCCGAATCCGATCCGAAGAATAAAATATAAAAGCAAGAAATACATGTCAAGAAGCTGACAAAGTGACGTCCAATCAGTGGCGGAAATCTTGGTGGGGCGGGGGGGGGAGGGTGCGGTCACCTTCACGAAAAATTAACGAATTTTCGGAAATTTTGACCTAAAAGAGGGCTAAAAAGAGTCTTTTCGAGTGCAAATGGGGGGTATGTCGGAAATTTGAAAGTTTTGTCGGAAATTTAGGAGGCTTTGTCCCCCCCCCCGGAAAAAGTGAATTTCCGCCACTGCGTCCAATTGAAGTAATTCAAACGAATAATGCAGCGACAACCGCGATGATACTTTGATAAATGCATGGATAAGTAATTCTTGCGATAATGCATAGATACTCTGGCGCCCGGAATTCTGGGTTTTCTGATTATGCGTGTCTCCTGAGTCAGATGCACAGCGGAATATATGCCTGGTTTTTGGTATATACTTCATTTAATTAACCCTTAGTATATACCTCAAACTGCTCAAAGGCAAACCACAACAAAAAATACCGTCATGTGGGACCTTAAAAGGTCTTAAAACTCTTTATTCTACCGATAAATAACGGTTTCTTTATTGACTGGGATTTCAATAACTCGGACTGGGATTTCTAATAAAAATCCAACTGGGACTGGGATTTTGCCAAAATTTCAGGTGGGAAATGGGATTGGGACCTTCCCTTCAGGACCCTCTGCGAAGTTTCACTAAAACATTTAATTTTACTAAATTGTAAGCAAATTGTAAATTTCGACATACTAAAACTCTATTAACTCGAACCGACTTGACCACGTAGCTCAGTTGGCAGAGCAATGGACTAGTATCCCAAAGGTCGCGGGTTCGACTACTACCGTGGCCAAGCAAACTTTTAAGCTTGCCCGCTGTGGATGCATACTCAAAGTAACATCACAAATATCATACTAAAACTCTGTTTCCTGACCATCAGAATTCTGTCAAAACTTCCCCAAAGTCAGAAGAATCTAAATTTCAGATTTAAAAATTTCCTCGGGCTTTGGGCCCTCGTTCCCAGCCCCCAATAAAAAAAGCTTCCTATGGCACTGCATGCTTCTGTAATATGTCTTTGCCTAAACTATATGTGTATTTTTGTTTGTAAATTGCATCTTCATTTTTCGGATAGCGAACACCTTCATGGCTTCGTATGCCATGAAATATTTGGAAATTTTTTTCGTCATTCGGAAATTTTTGGCCTACCCCCAACTATACATGCTAGCTACGGCCCTGTAAAAAAGTGATTAAGAGTTTTATACAACCGGTCCCAGATGATCAAACTGATTATCAATTTCCAGCAGGGTTTATTTTAACGTGCAGTTCTACACAAAATGTGCACTTCTAAACCCATTTGTGCAGTTCTTAAAACTCAAATGTGCATGCAGTCACCAAATTAACAAAAATATAACCTCAAAAGAGTCTTCTCATTTACTCGTTTTCCTTGCGGATGCTCCAGATACCTCATAAATCACATACGTGCTGGGGTAATGGAACAGAATGTAAAATTGGGGCGAGCGAAGCTATCCAAAAGAGATTAAAGTGGGAGAACCTAATACTCTTTGCTGCCTATTAAGCCCTATGGTTATTATATATTGAGTATTCATGATTCCCAGTTACATGTTTTGAAACAGTTTTTGTGGGTGGTTGGGTGAGACAAATCATTGCCAGAACTTACGAGCCTCTAAATTCAAAATTAAAAGCTCTCCCACCGAGAATGTGGCCCCACCCAACACACCACCTTTATTCACCTTTATTCTGCCACCTATATGCAAATTAGAGTCTATCATAATTTACAACGTTACGTTACCGGCTATAAATTTACAACGTTAAATATAGATAAAAATCATTTGACCCCCCAGTCAAATACCCTTTGACCCCCCAGTCAAATCCGTGATGCTTCGTAACATGCCTTAAAGGCCGTTTTCCACTAGGCGGAATTTTCCGCGCGGAGCGGAATTTCTCTTTGTCTTTTCTAATTAGTTCCACTCGAGAAATCACAAGACAAAGACAAATTCCGCTCCGCGCAGAAAATTCCGTCTAGTGGAATTAAGGCCGTTTTCCACTAGGCAGAATTTTCCGCGCGGAGAGGAATTTTTCTTTGTCTTGTCATTTCTCGGGTGGAACTAATTAGAATAGACAAAGAGAAATTCCGCTCCGCGCGGAAAATTCCGCATAGTGGAAAACGGCCTTAACATGTGCAGTTCTAAATTTTTCTTAAAATAAACCCTGATTTCCAGGGGCTGGTTGTATAAAAAAGTGATTAAAGTTAACTATAGTTAGTGGAAACGTCATCCAATAAGAAGCGCGCATTTGAGAGTTAATCACCATTCAACTACAAAATAGTGATTAAAAAGTGATTTACAAAATGTTGACTGAAAAACGGCAAACTTCGCAAGGCTATATTATCCGCATTTTAAAACATTTCACAACGAAACTTCGGCATATGACTAATTTTGTGATGCTCTTTCAAGCTGTGACGAAATTTTTGGGGAAGGTCTATTGGCAACGCTGCTTGGTTTGCGCCGCAAAGTGGCGCAGACTTCTTCGCTGCGTCATGTTATTCACATTATAGTGGATCGAAGAATTTCAGTATAAACTAATCCGTCTCGAAATGCTCAGAAGTCAGTCAGACAAAATATGGGATTGTATAGTGGTAGGTGCAGGTATAGAAGGCAGTAATACTGCTAGGTATTCTGCTTCACTTGGAAAAAACACTTTGTGTTTAGAACAGGTAAATGGCCTTCTATTTTGATTATAATTCTGTGATGTTGCTTCACATAAATTAGAACGTAAACAGTCGTTCCAACAAAGTTTTAATTTAAAACTTTGTTGGAACGACTGTTTACATTCTAATTTATATACATCTATATATTCATGATTTCATGTGGTGGTTTGGTTTGCAATCGATAAAAATATGGCAGCCATGTTGGAGGATTATACAATAACTTTTGCCCCCCCCTCCTAAATTCTGCCCTCCAGATGAATTTGGCCTGGGGTGCATTTTTTTTGGGGGGTGCGGCATATTTCCTGTTACACCTAGGGGGAGGGCATTTTGCCCCAGGCCCCCAGCTCAAAAGGGTCCCGACTCCTCCAAAGACAAAATTGTTTTGCCCCTGGCAAACCTTTTTAGCAGCCCTGGCAGCATCCTTGGTCCCAGGGCCTCACAGTATATCTTACACAGAATATGCTGATTTACAGTCAAAACTCAATAAGGGACGGACCATTAGAAAAGTGGGATGGGGGTAAATTTTTTATGTTTGCATTTTTTTCCAGGTTGTCAGCTGTGTATGCATGTTTTTTTTTAAATATGTCTTCTCGCATGCAATTTTTTTTTCCAATACAACTATACAAATGTTAACGAAACTGGTCTCTTGACAAAAAATATCGCTTTAATGCACACTGCAAAATAATATCTTTAAGGATATTTTAGGCTAAACCAGATATCATTTAATGATATAAGTATGGCAGAACAAATGAGCAAAAGGAAGAAGAAACAAAACATGAGAAAAGAAAAGAGCATGATTAAGTAGAGGAAAAGAAAATGTAGAAGAAGATATTGCCATTGAGATTATAGATCAGGAAGATAGTGTCAGTTTTGATAGATGAAGGGGATAGTGGTAGTTTGATTGTAGATGAAGAAGATAGTGTCAGTTTTATTGTAGATGAAGGGAAAAGTGGTAGTTTGGTTGTAGATCAAGAAGGTAGTGTCAGTTTAATTGTAGATCAAGGGAAAAGTTGTAGTTTCACTAGTTTGATTGTATAGATCAAGAAGATAGTGGCACTGCGATTATAAATCAAGGGGAAAGTGGTAGTTTGGTGGTTGTAGATCAAACGGACAGTCAGTGGCGTAACGTTATATCAGGGGGCCCCAGGTTCAAAACTTTCGAAGGCCCCCCTAGTAGAAGTGCCAAAGGCACAAGTCAAGCGCCATATATGCACAAGTTTTCTAGGGGGTCCAGAGCATGCTCACCCGGAAAATTTTTGAATCTAGATTCTCTGAAATACCATTTCCCGGACTTTAGGGAGAGATTTTACAGAATTCTGATGGTCAGAAAATGACATTGTAACATATCAGAGGCCCTGGCCAATGTTTTTGCTCTATAGCCTGGGGGCCCCCATTTGGCCCATTGGGGCCCCCCGGGTTCTCCCGGTCCAAGCCCATAGTAGTTACGCCACTGATCGAGGACAGTGGCAGTGTGAATGAGGATTATTAAAGACAATAGAAAATATTTTGATAGGATATAATAAAACTATATAAGAGTAGTATACTGTTAATATTGAAAGAAATTGCATATTAATATATTATATATTTATATATTTATATTTTGTAATATTCCAAAGATTTAGTTCAATTTTGCCTGATGTACATTTCTATTGTTGTTCTGTTTGTAATTTTTTTTAAACAAGTCTGTTTGCATGTATTTTTTTTCAAACATTTTTTGTTTGCATGGATTTTTTTCTGCCCCCCCCCCATCACTTTTCTAATGGTCCGTCCCAAAGTCAAGAACCTTTCTGTAGTCTGTTGTAAATTTCTGGGGGTTTTGTCACAGAATAGATACCGAACCAGAAGTGTCACTCCTATGTGTTTTGGCTGAAGGAAAACATCCGAAATTTTTTTGCGTGCTATGACGCCATCCTGGAGTGCACCCGGCACTTTGTACCTATGTTTTCCTATGAAAAACTTCCATATGCACTCCAGGATGGCGTCATATGATGGCGTATTTTCACGTCAGCACCACTGAGCTGTATAATAACTGGAGGACCTGCTCCTATACTTCGTTCAGTGATCAAAGTGAAGCCAAAAAAATGGCGGATTTTGACGTTTGCTGACGCCATTTCCATGACAACTGGTCCGTAATTCTCACAGAATTGCCACTGACCAACCGCGATCCTGAGCTTCAGACGACGTTTTCACCCCCCTGGTTTTGGCAGTGTTTTTAGTTAAAAACATTTATATTTTGCTGGGGTTTTTTTTCAACTTGGAAGGAATTAAAGTGCCGTTTTGCTCCGCTTGCTGATGCAACAATTTATTTTGCATAAAGGACGAGTAATTCTTTTTACAGGTAAGATTTATGGGACGGATAGAACGAAATTATTAAAATATTTTGTCAAAATTCAACACTTGTTCACGGTTCACTTGACTTCACTTCTCATGTCAAATGAACTGCAAATATTTCAATATTGGACATAAAAAACCTTGTAAAATTTGTGGTCATAAGATTTACTGTTTTGTTTTATCCCTGGCAATGTGTCTTACACAGATTATGGTGTGAAAATCATTTAAATACACTTAAAATATTGACCAGGATTAGCACATGCAAGGCCAGAGAGGGGGTCTAAATAGCCAGGGCCACTACACTCGAATGACATCAACATATAGTAGTGTACTGTTAACGACTGTTAGTGTTAATGGCCCACATATACAATAAATTGACTGATCAGATTTTGTCGTATAATCAAGTGACAAGTATTAAGAGACTCCAGAAACTGTTAAATTTAATATTGTGATCAGTGGCATAGCCAGTAAAACAGAAGTGGGGGAACAATCAATGACGTCATTAAGAAATTGGAGGGAGCTGCCGAAGGCATGAGCCTATTAGCGGTTCTGGGGGCACACTCACTCAGAAGATTTTGAAAATTATCTGAAAACATCCACATCATCCCTACACAAGAAATGTGAAGTTGCAAGCCCCTGTCCTATTTATAGTGTATTTTGCTTTTCTCGGGAGTATAGATTCTAATCGTCCCCTCCAGACAGCATAAATTTCCTCCACATATAGTTGGAGTGTGGATTTTTCTGGAATATGACTCAATGTTCAAACTATACATGCACAGTACATGTATTTCCACAACAGAGCGGAATACACAAAGAACTACAACAAGAATATTTTTATTAATTAGTAAACCTTAAACTGTGGATCCTTCCTCTCTCCTGAAAAAATTGTCAGGGTCCGAATTAACGCTTCGCAAATCGCAAAATGCGAAGCGATTTTTCTAGAAGTTGCGAAGCTTCTTTAATTAATTAGTAATGCTTGATTGTCAACCTTGATATCCAGCTTTCTTCCATTTCATCGTCGAGTGTCTCAGACATTCATGTGGAGCATGCATCTCACTTTTGTTTTGAGTTCTGCGCGCGTCAGTGCTTCAGACTAAAGTGCTGCAACGTGTTAGGTTGGCATCACCTCGGTCAACTAGCGAGTTGAAAAATAGCATTTCAAGTTCAACGATGAGAACGACAATTCATTGTTTGTTTAGCCATTTGGTTCACTTTTAATTTAAAGTTATACTGTAACTTGCATCTTAGCGTTTTAATTTAAAGAAGATATAAATCATAGAACTTTAGACAATGACGATAATTCAGACCCTGCAGAAACAATTTTTTCTCCCCTCCGGACAGTTGAAATTTCCTCTGAATTGTTATCTTAATTTCTCTGTGATTGTCTTGACTTTCATGAAATTGCATGGTTACAAAGAAGCTATGATCATTAAACTAGTGGATAATGATTTACCATTTCAGTACTATGTAAAAGGAACTTTATTAAGTGTATATACAGTTTTGTGGATGAAAAGAAGCATGCATCCACAATTTTTGGTAATAAATGCTGTTTTTCAGGTGGAAGAATGTGTATAATAATATTGGTGTAATATGTTTGTTGTCTTTTATCTTGCAGGAATTATTGGATACAAAATATCACAAAACATGGGATGTACAAGGCATTAAAATGCAGATGGCAATCATTGATGGATTTTCTGGGGGTGGGGGTGTACCCCCAATAGTATCTTCACCACCTCAGAAGCTTTTCCACCACAGAAATTTAAATGCTGGTTTGATTAAAATTATGACAGCAGTATAATTGAACAAGAATTTTGAACTAAATAAGGCTAAAAAACAAGGCCAATATTCTCGAAATATCCTGGGGTCATTGCCCCCAACCTTACCCCCAACTGTGTCCCCACTAGTGACTGTACCCTCAGACTCTGCTGCATCTTACTCAGCACAGTGAGCACACTACGTGCTCCTTGCTCACTTTTCTGCACACCCACACTCCCCAAGCAAAATTTGAAAATCTGTCTATGATGGTGATGATAATTAACTTATAAAAGTATAAACCTTTATTATTAAGTTAATTAAAGAATCATTGTCAACTACAATGCATTGCATGCTATTACAGTATTACTTGAAAGCCTTCAAGGGTGGATCCAGCAAGGTTTTTCTAGGGGATGCTGGATGAGCAGCCAAGTGTTTCTTTATAATTTTTTAGGGGGTGGTGGGAGTGAAACGACTCAAGCACTAAAGGCGCAAGCTCCCTAGGGGGTTGAGGGATATGCCCCAAGAAAATTTTGAAAATTAGATCTGTAGAAATGCTATTTCCTGTGATATGGACATTGAATTATGAGCTTCAGTTTGACTTCAAAAAAGGGAAAACCTTGGAAATTATGCCATGTTTCTGAATTTGATTTTATTGCACCCCTGTTGACCAAGGCCAACAGGGGTGTGCACCCTCCTCATTAATCCACCCCTGAATTAAGTTAACACATACTCCACTACATCATGTATACTTAATTACAATAATTTTAGTGTTAATTTAAAATTATTCACTGTTAATAATTTTACTGTATTGAAAAGTCCAATTAAAATAGTTCAAAATGAATCCAGCTTTTGTGTCTTCAATTTTCATACATCTTGCTTGTACTGTATTTTGCCTGCCCTACTTTTACTTGTCAATGGGAGAGCCACTCTATGGGTTAACTAGGAAACCAGAGTGAGTCAGGAGAAATGCCAGATTATGATATCCCAATTGTGAGATAATTCTGGAATAAACAAAAATATATTATATGTTGTAACTTTGAGCACAAAAATGATGATGGAAAAAACAAAACGATGCGACTCAACTCCAAACCAGAGACACCAGAACCATTGGTGCAATTATCAGGCTTAACCCATTGAGCCGCAATGCGCCCCAGCGTGCCCTACTTTTTTTTACTTGTCTGACACCAGATGATTTTACTTGTCAATTGGGGAAGCTCTGCAGCTTAATGGGTTAACCAAAAAATCTGACAATGCCTCTAGTTAACACATTGAGCTGCAGTGCGCCCTACTTATTTTTTAACTTGTTTAACGCCGGATGATTTTACTCGTCAATGGGGAAGCTCTGCAGCTTAATGGGTTAATAGTATAATAATCAAAAGTGGCCAGGATACAAGGTACCTTTCCAGTGCAAGGGAAGCAACATACAGTAGTTACGAAGTAATTGCCAGATTGCCATCCAGTATCTGGTGTTCCAAATTGTTAAACCCATTAAGCTGCAGAGCTTCCCCATTGATGAGTAAAATCGTCTGGCGTTAGTCGTTAGGCAATAGTAAAAAAATAAGCAGGGTGCACTGCAGCTCCCAACATGTTGTAAATGGCTAATATAATATCTTTTCATCACACAGCGACATTTTCTTGGGGGAAGGGGGTATATATAAGTTATATACAGGTATTTTGGGAAATATTTGAGTACTCCAAAAGTCTTGTCATTGACATTGATTAGCCTTGTATGCAAACTTGGCACATATTACACAAAACCTGAATTTATTTAAACACATACGTGACATACCGTTTGCTTTGAAGGAACGTCTGGAGTTAATAGCATTTTCTAAAGTAATTTATAAATAACAAAAAGTTGTAGTTTCTGCAACCAAATTTTGAAATATACAGATGCCAAATTACACCAAAAAAACAGCAAAAGGCTGTTTTCTTAACAAAAAGAGTGCATTTCATCGTCAAGCTTAAGTTAAGCCTACCAATTTTATGTGAGATAAGATAAAGCATAAATAAAATTGAATGAAATACGGTCAAATACCTGTTTATAGCTCGCTGATTCAAATATCCTCTTTGGCTTTGCTCATATTTTGCGAGGACAGCGAGGTTTGAATTTTGTTGTCTTTCCCGGGAAGAATAACACGTACGACTTGCACATCTTTGAACCAATAACCGAATTTAGAAAAAATATCTCGAAAACAATTTAAAAATCGAGTCAAATATCGAGAAAATACTACAAAACTCGAGCAAAATTGCAAAAACCTAAAGTTTTTTAAAGAAAACCAGGGGGGTAGAAATTGTAGCGGGCTCAGATCCGAGCCTGGTCAGTGGTAATTACCATGAGCCGGAGGAACCATATGGCGTCATTCTGGCGTCAGCAAAGGCCGAAATCCGCCATGTTTTTGCGGACACTTTTTGATGCCGAGCACGTCCTCCAGTAATATAGTATAGCTCAGTGGGAAAAACATGGCGGATTTTCATGTTTGCTGACGCCAATTGGTTCCTCCGGCTCATGGCAATTACCACTGACCAACCGCGATCCTACGCTTGAAGTAAAATCCTTCACCCCCCTGGTTTTTGCAAAAATTTTGATCATAATTTTCGAGTTTCGACTGAAGACACTGAACATTTTGATATTTTTGCAGTCGAGAAAAAAGTGTGTTAGTTTTAAGTTTTTAGTCTGCTTGTAGATGAAACAATTCACTCGAAAGGATTATTATATTTCTTGTTTTCAGGTAAGATTCACAAAAGTTTTATTTCTTTTACTTTTTTTAAGTTCTAGCTTGCCAAAGCTTGGGCTGCTTCGGGCAAATTTTATAACTTGCCATTTCGATGGAAAAGCATATAAATACATTATGTCAAAAACTACCGTTATAAGCAGCAAATGTATAATTATTTATATTGCTAATTTCAACAATATCACAGTAGCTTTGTATCCTTTTTTTTGTTGTTCTTTATATTCAAACTCATTCTCATACTGTATTGACCTGTATTAATTGTGTCTCATATCTTGGGTTCAAAATCCTTTTCCCGACTTGTTTTGTTTTATATTACTTTGAAATAATGAAATTCGTGATTGGTTTTAACTTTTAACTGTTAACTACCAGGTTTTTGTAGCAGTATTTATTTAGGATGCATGTGCACAACCTACCTTTTCAGTACCCTGCCAGTTGCCACTCTGGCACTTTCAAAAAATTCAGCATTTAGACCTTTATTATAAGTGATTAATAAAGGAACACTATGCCCTACTTTGTTATCCTACTCAGTCCAATACCAGATAATTTTACTTGTTAAGGGGAAAGTGCTAGTGCACTCAATTGCGTAATAATTTTAAGTCATATTAAACATCATTTTTTATTTGTATCACCCCCCATCCCCCCCCCCCCCACTTGGATATTCTAGCACATTTTACTTGTGGATCCCCCCTCTACACTGTCACACTGTAACTTGTAGCACATGCAGGCTGTGGGAGTCTGAATCTTTTCTGTAATTCATGTAATGACCCAATATAGTTCAAGTGCCCTCACAAATCCAATGGAATTTGCTTATCCTGAGGCTGATGCTCAAGCATGAACAAGAAAAATACAAATAAGGTGTTTGAATGCAAGGGCTGTTGCAGAAATAACTTTATTTGATCATTTCCATTACACAATAGCATGTTTATTATATACAGAGAGTGTCAAAGACCATATTCTTCACACTGACCATCTATTAGATAATTTTATTGCAGTGTAAGGATGTATCTTAATGTAATGTTACATTCTGATATTCTGTCATTCATTTTGCAGGTAAAATCATTCACAGGTACCACAAAACATATCACAATGGATCAAAATGCTGAACAGCCAAAGCAAAATCATACCCATCTGGCTACAAATTCACAATAATAACTTGTCTGGATAGTTTTATCACTGCTAACTAAATTAATTATATCTAATAATTGATAATTCTTTAATAAAGAGGTTGAATTATGAACTATCTCACCATCAAATAATTCTGCAATTGGACCAAAAAGAGATTATATAATTAAAATGTTGTAAAATAAAGTTTTCACTAAAGACAAAAGAGTAAGAAAGTGAAGAAAGGAAATGAAAAAAGCAGCTTAAGCCAGAACACTATTTAAAGGCTTCAATGTATCATGCAACTACCTGAAAAATAATACTATTGGTCTTTCACCTGAAATGTTGAAGTTCATTGATTTCTTAGTTTCAGGTAATTGCATCTGATACAGGGGTGCACAAAGAGAGGACTGAAATGGGCAAAACCCCAAATAAATCCACCTGCATGGACTGGAAGTGACATTTTCTACCAATTAAATTGTTTCTGACTTGATGTCTGACTAGCATGTGTGACTTTCTCAGTTCTGGCCTGTATAATGAGATCCAGTGCAACCCTATAAAGCCTATAATCTAGATACTTTGCTTATACCTACACTTGTGATTGGTACCCGACATTCAAGAAGTACAATCCTATTTCTAGTCAGTGGCTCAAGAATCCTCAATTCAGCATGACATTAGTCAGAAATCTAGGTAGAAATCATATTTTTATTTACCAGATAAGTTGCCCACAATATCCTGAGCTTCTGGAACCTCTAGGCTAGCTTCTACTGGCACCCTAGATTATGCATACTATAATAACCACAGACTCTAGTATATATAAACACAAAGAATATAGATAGAAGCACATTGTTTCATGCCTTTATACCTGTATATACACTTATTTACGAGCTATTAAGCACATACAATTGCAAAATCAAGCATGTCAAATTTCAGTCATCAGTCTATATAGAAAACCCAAAGGATTTGAGGGAAAAACTGATTTAACTGAATTAAATAAAACAAGATTTGTTTAACAAAAACCATGGCCAGCCAACAATTTAACAAAGCTAGTAAAGTAAAAAAAAAAAAAAAAAAAACTTTGAATATAAAAACAAAGTTTCTGTATTTTTTACGACAAGACTTTGAATACACAGGGGGAAATAATACGTTATAATACGCCTGTTATCTAATGGATTATATTCTATCATGGCCCACTATCTTTTAAAAATTAAAAATAAAAGCAAAGCAATAGTATGTGAAATCTGATTTACCTGTTTAATAGCTCTGCCATCAAATATCGCCTTTGCCTAAATCTCTCGGGGTTTTCATATTGATTTGTTGTCTTTCGCGGGCGAGACTACCGTGCACGACTTTTAAATCTTTGAACAAATGGTCAAAAGTCGAAAAAATATAAAAAAACAACGAGATTTTACTGCAAAAACCTCGAAAAGCAAAAATTTTTTTAATAAAACCAGGGGGGAGTGAAAATTGTAGCGGGCTCAGAATTGAGCCTGGTCAGCGGTAATTCCATGAGCCGGAGGAACCAGTTGTCATGGAAATGGCGTCATATGGCGCGAAAATCCGCCATGTTTTTGCGGACACTTTTTTTGCCGAGCACTTCCTCCAGTAATATAGTATAGCTCAGTGGTTTTTGCGGACACTTTTTTGACTGACGAGCACTGAGCTGTATAATAACTGGAGGACCTGCTCCTATACTTCGTTCAGTCATCGAAGTGAAGCCTAAAACATGGCGGATTTTGAGTGAAAATGATGCCATTTCCATTACCACTGGTCCCTAAATTCATGGTAATTGCCACTAAGCAAGGCTCAATTATGAGCCCGCTACAGTTTTCACCCTCCACTGGTTTTTAAAAAAATATCAGCTTTTTAGTGAATTCTGGTTTGGTTTTTTTTGACATATTTTTTTGACGTTTGACCATTTGTTCAAGGATGTGAAAGTCGTACACGTTTTTCCAGTCCGTGAAAGTCAACAAACAACTATTAAAACCTCCCGAAATGTGGATAAAAACGATATTTCAAGCCGGGCTAACAGCAGTCTAACATGCAGTCAACTATATAAAACAGGTAAACATGTTAAAAATCACATTTCTATTTTAGTATTTCATGAAAAATGTTAGGAATAAATGGTAAAATGTACTCTACTTTTTAGAAAATAAGCCACAAGTGTTTATAATGCGGTTGTATAAAGCTTTTTATATTTACTGTAACTTTATGCAATCAAATTTCATCCCTAATTTAATAATCCCGAGTTGCACATGAAGAGATGAAACTATGATGTGCTAGTATATTAAAAAGGGAATTAAGGTTTTATATATTTAGCCAAGGGTTTTGTTATGCATGAGCTTGTGGTGGACTGGTGCAGGACAAAGCTCAGCTGCCTAGAGGGGCAGCTGATCTGAGAAGTGAAAAGGCATGTTTTCTATCCAGGATTGTACATTGTAGTTTTAATATGTGCTCTCTGATAGTTTGTTGTATGTATCTTTAAAAGGCCATCAGCTTGTTTGCCCCATCCGTCGAGTATTAAGTTAATTGTCTCTAGTTCTGCCATATTGCAGTAAGCGGGACTTGACTGTGTGGTTATTTTAATATTTTTATAGTGGAAATTCCTTTCAGTTTGTATGGACAACCTGACTGCATGGCTCAGTTTGAAATCTCACTTGAACAAGACAAGATCTCTAAGTGGTTTAATAGGCAAGATAACACAAACCTGACTTGGTCAAAATGAAGTCAAAACAACAAAATTGGTCATGAAAATATTGTCAAAACAATAGAGATGCAGAATTTTCCAACAATGCATGAGTCCATGCCACTGTTGTTTAATTAACTGTTAATGAAACTCAGTACCAAGCAACATGTTACTTTACAAATTAAAGATTCAAAATCTTGATTAATTTTGTATTATTTTAATTAACTTGGTCAAAGAATAATTATCAAATTAATAATTACAACTGTATAATCAAGTTACATGTAATAGAGTATAATTATAATTATAGCTCCATAGGCTATTCTTTGGCTGTTCCCTGTTTTGATGCCTTGGGCCATTTCTTGTCGTACATATAACACATGCCCACAACGTTTTAGAGAAAAGTCATTGTTAGTTTTCCCAGTTACAGTAGGTCTGGCAAGTGCCAAGTACACTATTCTTGTTATTTGAACATTCAAAAGAACCTGTCCACATGACTTAATACATCACCGGATCACCCTAAATGAGAAATGTCAATTATATTTATAAAATAGTGACAGCTATAGTATCATTAGAACACACTTTGAAGAAATAGTAAGTCACATATACCAGGGTGCATTGCCACTTAAAGGATTATAATATGTTATGGGTTCATTACGGGTCAAATAAATTCAGTGGTGTAGCCAGACCTTCATTTTGGGGGGGACAAAGC